TCTTTTTGTACGCGTTAGAAACAACAAAAATACCCTAGCCTTACTTCCTACCTGACAGAAATCTAATGTGTTACAGTACTCCCGGGAGGACCCCGCAATTTGCCCCTGTGCTGCAGCCGCCCCTTTGCGGGGTCGGCGGCAGCGGCGGCAGCCCTTAAATAGCCACAACAGAAGCTTCTGAGAATCTGACTCAATTCACGTTCCTCGGGTGCCAATGTCTTCTTGAAGAAGTATGTGCGGATGCAAAACCGAGCATCAGTGCGAACGAAGCTTGCCTTTGGATGCTGCCGGGACTCGCCAGATCAGCGCAGCTCTCTTTGACTCTGTTTACCATTGTCACCTCGCACCTTGCAAGGAACAGGAAAAGCATGAAAGAGCTAGGCAACAACGATCGCCGCCAATCGCTTGCGATCATGTGAACGTGATGTGTGTTGCGCAAATGGCTAGGCCACGAGCTCGCGGATCCACTTGCGTGGGTCGTAGTAGCTTTTGTTTGGCTTGTCCTGCATGAAACGAGCTTTCGAGTTCAAGCTTTTGGCATTGGGCTATGCGGCACTGCGCAATGAAAACGGGACAGGAGCTGTATGGCCCTCCATCAAGAAGGAGCACATACCCCATGCATCAGATGTACCAGGGCTCGGCTGGCAGTAGCACAGGAATCCAAAGGGGCTACAGAAAGAAACGCAGTGCGCAACATCACCCTCAGTGTTAAAAACTTGCCGCCCGTTTCCTCACCCTCCGGGTTGCCAATCTGGCCCTGAAGGTAGCCCTCCTTCGCCTGCGCATGCCGCAGAAAGAGTTGATGTAGACGGGCGAGCACGGAATCTCTGAAGCGGGAGATCGGAATTTTCGGCCTTGTAAAACTTCAGGAGGCCTTCCCAGTAGGCCCACTGAGTGTCGGTGTCCTTGGATGCCAGATGCGATTGTCGCCTCTAACGACGCCTCGGAGAAGGACCCACACATACAGAAGTCATCAGCTGAAATGCAGGCAGTGATGCTTCATGAGAGCAAGAGCCTTTCCAGCTTGACAGCGATAAGAGAGTCTCTGTGCGTCTGAGTGTCCACGTTCATCTTGACAACCTTGCAGGCAGGCTGAGACCCTTCTGCATCAAGACTTCTGATTTCCAACTTCGGCCCCTCTCGACCCCAAACTCCAATCCTGAACACCCAAGCCTGTGCTGAAAAAAGTTGAACCCTAGAGGCCAAGACATCGAGCACTTGCTGAGTCTGAGTAGCCAGGTACTAATCGGTCCATATTCATCCAATATCTTCCGATCCGTGCCCGAAACCGTGGCCAAAATGGTAACGCGCTCAACTCTCAAGCCTTATTGGCTCAACCCACCCGAACAATCTTCCTTCGCGCTGCCCGCCCCCCCCCCTCCCTCCCTCCACTGAGTATGCTAGGGTGGCCACATTTTCCGGGTTAGGCTTGTGAGGATGGGAGTTTGCCTAAGACAGAGAGAGAAAGGGAGAGAGAGAGAGACTGCGCACACGAGGCCTTGCATCAAAACTGGCACCAGGGGTTTGGACCGAAAGCCTGCTGTACCAAGCAGACAAGAAGGGGAAGGTGGCCAAAAACAATCGGCAAAACCGCCAACGTGTATGGGCAGGTGCTTGGCGGATGGGTGTTTTGGCTCCAAACGCGTCCTGCTGAGTGCTGATGCTGACAAGAGGCCTGAAACCCCCCTTGGAGCCAGCATCATCACCATCAGGAGGGATACATTTCTTGAACGTGTCATCAATGTGTCCCCAGCCCCCCCACGAAAACTAAGAAAGCTGTCTTAACAAATTTCAACTTGGGCCTTGGGCTGCAGACGTTGCTTTGGGATGTTCGTCAGTTGGAGTAGGCATGCCATCCGGTGACGAATACTTACTTCTTCTCAAAGTGCCTGACTCAGAAGAGTCTTGCCTGTGTCTGTGGCATGGATTCAAGTGTGAGTGGTCGCCTCACACTACATAAGCAGGGGGAAAGCCGATACGATATGGGGGAACTGACACTTGTGCCCGCCAGGCTTCTCTGATCTTGCTACAGCGAGAGCCGTAGCGCCTACACATGAGCTTTGCTGCTACAAGACTTCCGATCTGAGTTGCCAGCGCCGGCATTGAGAGCTGTTGTGATGTGATGCTTCTCAGATCCAGAGCCACCGTGGAAAACCTTAGCTTCCTCTTCTGCCAACGTCTAGGAGTCTAGCAATGTGCCCCGGAGGCTCAGTTCCCTTCATAGCAGTTGAGCAGCAAAGTTGAGTGGCCTCTCAATATCCTTGCCCTCTGCCTGCAACTTACATGAGCATCTTCAGCGGTTCTCAGGTTGTTCAAAGGGATACTGGACACAGACACCGTTTCCGCCTTGACCTTCTCACTAGCATACTTCTGGCAGTCTGCCAGGAGCTCCGGCTTCAACACCACGTTTCCCGCCTCGAGCCACGCTAGTTGACTGCACCACAGATGTAACAGTGTAGCATCCCTATTACGGAACACTGCCGTCACGTCTAAGCACAAGAAATTGTCACAAGACGTCACAGGCACCTCTCCCTAAACAGGAAAAGCAGGCGGCGAGGGCACACGAAAAGGTTCTTCAGAGGAGCCCGAGTTAAAACACTGCTTTGGTACTGCTGCCGCCGCTTGTTCTATCACAGCCTCTGCTGCTACGGGTTGCTGTTGACTGTCAACAGCGTACTGCTCGTGGTGCTTGAAGCTACGCCTTGTAGACTCCGTGCACATTGCCGAAGGCAGCAGCAATCGTGAACATCGGCGAGATAGGATTCAAACCTTCGTAAACTTTCCACACGTCCTGGCTGCACGGTTTACAGGAAACATCAACAATCAACAGCCTCCTTCTGAACCATCGGGCGCTAAGCTGCTGTTGGTAAGTCCTCAGGGGTGGAATACAGCTTCTCCTTCGCTGCTCCTGTGTTGTCCACCTGAGCAACGTCTCCGATACATTACGCAAGAACACCTTGCTGTATGGTTGTTTTATGTGCGAGCTGCGCCATCTTCCACGCCGCCAGTGATACCAATCTCCATCTCCAGAATTTGTTTCATGGGTGCCATGCGGGTGAGATACTTCTTGCAGATCCTTGGATACGCCAAATGCTCGCGTATGGCAGCAGGCATGAGGAGTCTTAGAAGTTTGCTCGATGTTCTCCTCATCAGGCTCTTCAGACAGATCCAGCCTCATTGTGAGGAGACATGCTGCAGCAAACAGTTCAAAGGCTATTGCAGCCTGACCTGACTTCTGCTGGTTCTAATCGAGGTGTTGACATATGCGAAGAGAACAGGGGTTCTCCATGAGCTTTGAAGAAGGCCTCATCAGCCTTGCAATAAGGTGCGATGCGACGCTCGAGCACAGAAGGTTGGTTGTGAGACCAGCCTCCAGCATGCCGTCGAACCACGGAAGCAGCTTCTTTGCCTGAGTCAGCTGTCAGGCACCAGGCTACATCTCCGCTTAGAGTTGCCAAGGCTTCAGCGCAGTGGTCGGAGTGGACAAGCCTTCAAGCTGCTGTGGGCTCTAATGACTTCTTGATAATATTCCCAGAAACTTCTCTCCCTTTCCTCGCCCTGCCAAATGTTGAACCATTTCACCAGTCATCTTGCACATTGTGGCACTGCTATATCTCTGCCAATCGACACCCTGCCGAGGCCACGGCACTGGGATTCCATAGGCGGGTGCCACGGCGCGGACCTTGAAGAGCTTGTGAAGCACATGTTAGCATGCCCTACTCCATCCCCATCTTCCTCGAAAATGCAGATGGGTTATACACTCGCGCTTGCGCGAGAAACCCCCAGAGAGATTCGAATAACACGGTAATTATGGTAATTACTGTAAGATGCCGTAACTCCACATTATAACCCGACAGCAGAAGGCTTTTCAAGTCTCTGGCAAAGTGCGCGCCTGCCACTGCACCCAGAATGGATGCCTGTCCATTCACATCTCCCCTCTGCACTCATCAGCTCCGTGCCCGCTAGGATGCATTTTAGCCTGCAGCTTGCCCTTCTCGTTTGGGAGCGACTTTCCGGCCACGAATGCGGAGCCACCCTCGGAGAATTGGATCATGACAGGCCTTGCCGGCTTGATTCTCAAGCTCGCACTGGTTCAAGCTGAATTGTGAGCCTGTTGAGACTAGCTCCTGCTTCAAGGACGGAGTTGATGGTGCTGGTGCCTTCGACATGACAGCACGAACCCACGTTGCACTCATCGAAGTCGCTTGACTCAAAGGGTATCTTCAGGACAAGACTGGTGCAATTGAAGGCTGGGATGGCGTATCTGTGCTCCTGCCACGGCTCTTTGGAAAATCGGTGATCTGAAACAAGACAAATTCGCCTTGGCGTGCTGAAGCAGCGCCCATGCCAGGTCTCCAGTGACCTCAGTCAAAGCAGAGCTCCGCACACATGAGCATGATGTACCTGAACTCAGATTCATGCCAGATGGGATACTGAACATTAAGGCATGCTGTCAAACTTCAGAGGCCATTTGCTTTGCAAGGTCTATTGTTGAGGAGAAGCTGGGGCATCCCGCCGATGTTCACGTCAGTTACTTGGGACAGCAAGCGACAAGGGTTGCTGCGTTGTGCTCCGCTCATGGTTGAGCATCGTCGCATGCTCACGGGCTAAAGCTGTCTCATCAGCCGCTTCCAAAGAACAATCTCAGCTTCCCACCACGCCGGCCTTCATACCCGGAACGTCCCAGAACGACATTGCCTTAGCAGTCGCACAGTTTTGCGAACTGGCAAAGCTGTTCTCCAAGCGGTGCAGTGAAGGCCTTGCACGTCTTTTCACCGGGCTTGCCTCCTCCCTTTACCACCACCAGCTTTCTTGATCTCGTTTGCATACAGCGAAGCCTAAACCTCTGTGCTACAGCGCCAAGCATAAGGTATTGATTTCAGGCACTGAGATGGGCGCAACAGCTCGTGATGTCAGGAAGGCAGCGAAAGTTGAAGAGGCTTGAGGAAGAGTGGCTGCCAAGGCGCATCAAACATACTTGACCTGGGAAGCTGTGTCTGGAAAATTATTGAACACATACCTACGGCTGCCTAAGCCTATGTTGCCCGCTGCCCCGCTGGTGGCGTCCTGTGCGCTTCGAGCAGGTTCTCGACCAACAAAGTTCCTGACGCTGCTTTTCGCGGCTTCACCTAGATGTTTACGGATTCGGCAGGAAGCCTTAGTCATTCTATTTTCAAAATCCAATGCCCGCCCTTGATAGGACGGTCTCTTTTGCATGGATTGACAACCTGCCTGCAATAGCACTTTGAACTTCAAGACGTGAATGTGCATAAGGAACTTCAACTCTCACTACGAATGAGGGATGGCCCTGCTGCCTTTTGCCCGTGAAGCATTTGGCCAGCTACAGTACTTGTAGCTTGGTCCAGAAACTGGCATCTTCCAACAAGGGCAGGTCAGGCCTACAGCGGAGTTGCCACCAGCGGCTTCTGAAACCTTAGGTGCCACAATCCGTTTGGTAGGCAGCTGGCAAAGTCTGGAAGAGGCGCAGAAGAACGTCACTGTGCCGAGCCGGATGCCACCGGAACCAACACTGACTCCCCCGCAGAAGCCAGGGGCGGCGGCACATCAGCCTGCAGAGACTTTACAGCACAAGGAAGGAGCCGGTTGCCCTGGTAAAGGCCTTTTTTGCTGGGCTGGCCCCGGGCTGGGGTCCTGGGCGCAATGCTCCAATATGCTGCAATCCAATATATGCTTGAGCAGTTCAAAGCAATAGACGCCAGAGGAAAGCTGATTAGATACGGAAAACATCTCAGAAATCGGCGGCAACAACTTCCGAAAAGTGGTTCCCGCTGTGCGCACAGATGCTCGCGGAAGCTTTGGTGCAAGCACGTCGCTTGCGGAAGCTCTTGCGGAAGCTTTTTGAAAATTTTGGACGGATAACGCCGAAGACTAGAGATCCCTCTCGCGGAAGCACCTTAGATGAAAACGTCCGCGGAAGTGCCTGCGGAAGCACAGCGTCCCAGAACCTGCCAGTAGTCTTCTTGGAGGACTCGCGGAAGGTCCGTGGAAGTTTGCGGGCGGAAGCTTTGCCATTTTTTCTGGTTCATCTTTAAGCACATGTCCGGAAATGCACCATCGGTGGCAGCAATTGTGCACCAGGCCAGGGTTGAGCTGGGGCTGCGGAAGCACCTTGGTCTTTGGACCCTTGAACTTTGAAGTTTTTACTTTGATGCAAGCCATGCTAGGCTGGAGGCCTCCCAGCCCCAAACCTGCCAAAGCATGTGTTGGTCAGGTGCAAGTCAGGTGCAAGCTCGCTGCGCCTCCATCTTCTGCTCCTTCTCTCTTTCCTCGCTGCCATTCAATGCCCCTTCGGTGTCAAGCCTCAGTCTCGGTGGCCCTGCTACAATTTTCCAGGATCAGCGATCTTTCGGGTAGCAGGCAATTTATCAACCTCCCGTGGGAGCCGCGGGACTGGTGGCAAGTCGTCGAACAGGTCAAGCCTCAACCATGATGCTCGAGATACACCACCACCACCACCACCACCACCACCACCACCACCACCACCACCACCACCACCACCACCACCACCACTTGTCACTCTTAATCTCGTGCCCTCTACGTTTGGCTATCGAAGCTGCGCCAGCTAAGCTGCTGGCAGTTTTTGCTGGGCCTCGCCTTGGATAGCCTGAGGAAAGCAAGTTCAAGCGCGAAACGATGCGAACTGCACTGCGGCCTGCTTCTGGAGCTGCTCACCGACATCTGGCTTCAACAGGCGATCTGCCTGTTTGCACAACATTGTTCTAAGATACTTACATCAGCAAACCGCTCGCGACATTTCTACAGGGCCTGCGCCAGATCTTCCCGGGCAGATGACAGGATGTCAAGAAGCCTTGTGGGACTGCAAGGCTGGCACTCGGCCTTTAGAGCTCCCTGTTTTGAGGCTCCCACCCCACCAGTGCATTCCGGAAAGCTTGGTTGCCCATTCCAGGGCTTGAGCTCAGCCTTCTTAGCCTGAGTGTTGCCCAGCTGCTCAGTCAAGATCCAGATGCTTCAAGTCATCTTCATGTATCTCCACTTTGATCCCTCTCAGGTGCTTGCAGCTCTTGGCCCCGCTTCAGTCGCGCTAGTCTCGTCTCTCTCATGCCAAGTGGAACCTGGCCAAGACTCACACAACTTCAGAAAGCCGAAAGGCATCACGGAAAGCGTGACGGAACCGCAGCTCCAGATGCAGGAGTTTCGTTTTGCGCGTCGCCTGAGTTTCCATGTGAAGCGATCAACCAACAAAAAGGTCTGCCGTCACCCCGAGGACAGATCTGGATGCCCTTCTCTCGAAGGCCATATAGTCTACGAAGGTGGCTGGATCGTCCACCTCAATATCCTGTCAAGATTGAATCAAGCGAATCCCACTGTTCGGACCATTTCAGAACCTGAAATCACAAAAGCCCCAGCGGAACAATCAGCTTAACATGTGCTGTCCTTCAGCACTGCAAAGGATGCATACAGAGAAAGGAAGGATAGCCTGCGCTGGTACCTGAACAGCATAAGCTTTCAGAGCAGAGCCCTCCAGATCTGCTCACGCGCACTCTAGGTTCCGGTGCCCGGACAAGCAAAGAGCCGACGAAATCTGAGCACGTTGGTCAAGTCCGAAGTCCCCCAGCTAAAACATTGTTTGAGTCCATGACAGCCAGAAGTACCTTGGAAAAGCCAAGGCGGCAAAACGCAATCCCACAAATCAAAAGACAGCGGCAGGATATGGCAGGAACATGCAGTCAAAGGAGCCCCAGTCCAGCCCCAGTTGAAATCATTCTGGTCTGCCTCAAACGAGTTGCGAAAGCACGTAGCAGCCTTGCAGGCAGAGCGGCCACGTTCTGGCCTCCACGGTAGATTGCAGGACAATAGAGCCTCGGGAAACAGTTTGCAGCCTCAGGAAGGTCAAAATCGCTTATATGGACTTTGGCCCGTGCTGCTGCCATAGGCCAGAAAACATGACAAGGCCATAGGGAGCGCATGCGCAAAGGACAGGTTCGTCCTAAGCATGCACAATGGATCCAGCTGAGTCAAGCGTGGAAAAACGCAAATCGCAGAATAATTCGCAGACCTTTGCCGGAAACCGCGCCGGGGCTGAAAGCCGTGGCTGAGGCTGTCATGTTATCTGCAGGATTTCTGCAGCCTACTGCGGGTCAGCCTGCCCTGGGTTTTAGCTATCGTGGACCTCAGGCGCCCGCCGCATGGAGAAGAACATCAATGTCCCTAACATTGTCAGGATGACCTCATAGTCATTGCTCACCTCAATGTACAGCTTCACAGTGATAAGTTCACCATCATGTCTTTGTATCTGCGAACCTGTCAAATGTTGCGAACCAAGCCACTGCAGCGAACACATCCAGTGCTTTCATTCCCCAGAGAGCAGCGAGTCGCCTGTTCGCACTCTTCAGCCCTACGCTTCCATCCGCAACTGCAAGTACACCTCCGATTGGCAAAGAAGCAGGCCACCCAGGGAGTAACCTTAGACAAACTAGCACCAAAGCTCGCTGGAAGCCAGAAGCCACTTGTACACTGTTCAACACCATCCAGGCTCCACACCACTGTCCATGCGCACAGCATGTGCTCTGCGACGACGGCCTGCTGTGCAGCTGCCGGCCGGAGAGCGCATGTTTCTTTATGGACATTCGATGCTTAAGTTTTCAAATGTTCGCACGAAATCACACAAGTATGGCACTGGGGCTTCATTGCGTCATGTTCATCTTATCGGATCTTGACAGAAACTTCCTAATGGTCTAGCTACCATGTTCTGCAATGTGGTAGGTTTGGAACAGGGTCCGAGAATCCAACAACAGGATGTAACCTCCCTTTCGTTTTCGTGAGATAAAGGTGATCTAGACAACCTTTCCTGGAAAGCAACAGTGCAAGGCGACTTCTCCATTTCCTGCAGCAACCTTCTTGGTATTGTCCATCAGCTTCTGTTGCCAATGCCCAAGCTTGAATTCGATTTCGTGGGAACAGGGTGGCTTCTCGTGTTCATTGATGCAGCAGCTCTGCGGTATGTAACACACAGCGCGGCAAAGCCCTGATTCAAAGCTTCTACGTACCTGTCTCACTCCCGCCTGAGCGTCAAACTCCGACTCAGCCTGTTCATTGAAATCTCGGTGACAGCACTCGCAGCTCAGGCATCCCAGTGCCTGCACCAGCTGCTTCTTGGCCTGGCAAGTGTTGTCAGAGAACCGGGGAGCGTTGTTGACTCCAAGATCAAATGAGGCCCAAATGAGCTCTCATCCCATCATGATACCCAGTCTTGTCAAGTTGAACAGCTGGCCTTACCAGACAGCTGTCCTGAGCGGCAATCAAGCGTTTGCATTTGCAAAGGAAAGGACCTGAAAGTATATCCGTGGCAAAGGGCTCTGATGAGAAATACAAGGCTGGCTGGAGCTCAGCAAACCTCCATCAGCCAGAGTCTAGGGCACTGACTGCCTTTTGCCCTCAGCAACTCGCCCTGGCATGTTTTGTCGCACAGCTCAGCACTCGCAGCTGCAGGGGAGCTTGAATCAGCTGAGTAAAATCTTCCGACATCCGTAATTCTCAGAGGGCCTTCTGGCGCCTCTTCCACAGCCAGAGAGCTATCGCCTCAGCCACGGTTCATGCAATCCACCCTCAAGGGTTGAGAACATCAACTAGCATTTGTACAGAAAATAGCCCGGGACTGTAAACATGAGGAAAGCCCCAACGAAGATAACCAACCAGGCCAGGTTGTTGACCTGGTCGCTAGAGCAGGGCCCACACGTGCTGAGGGATGAAGGCGAAAATCTAGCTCCTGAAACTAGCCGCCGTACGTCTGTGCAACTCGGTGCTGTGCTGCTTGCACAGTTGACGTCCAGCGCAGGAGGGACCTTGATAGTGATTCCGTGGTTCAAGCTTGCTCCAGAGATGGATTACGCACAGGCCGAGCATGAGAAGTGGGCGGTTGCCAGTGAAAGTGCTCTGTAGTCACCGCCCAGATAGCATAGGCTGTCAGGATCAAGGCGCATCAACACCGCAGCTATGCTGCAATCAAAACATGTCAGTCAATGTGTCGGAAACTGAATCCTACCAAGCTTGCATGCAGGTCTTGTCGCGGCTGCAACTCCGAACCGACATGCCCTTTCTTGCCCTTCCATGCCCTTCCAGATCGCGAACAAGACAAGATCACAATTTCGCAGGCCTGCAACCGGCAAAGCGTAAACTTGTGCTTGGCGAAGCGTTGCTGGCAGATAGTACGAGACGTACGCCGCCTGCAGCAGATGCTCGCTGAGAATTCGGGCTGAATGGCAGAAATTTCATGTGAGACTTCTAGTCAACGAAATTCAAAAGCCAAACGTTGCACATTCTCCTCAACACGCGGGTCGCGGAAGCGGAGCAAGAAGGTCAGCCGGGCATCACGTCGTTGGTCCTCAAGGAATCAAAGGCAGAGGAGGAGTAGGAGCAGAGGAGAACAAGGAGGACGAGCACGAGCGCAATGAATACAAGGAGGAGAAACTGAAGGGGCTGAGCAGGAGGAGGAGCAGGACGAAGACGAGGAGCAAGGCACACACAGAGGAGTACAGTATAACGAACAAGCTTTTGACCTTGGGGTTCGCAGAACATTCAAAAGCGTGCCTTGCGCATCCATGCTAGAGGGCTGAACATGTTGCTCACCTGAGGCAAGTAGATCTTGGATCCAGCTCTCCATGACCTTGGTTTCTACCCCTTTGACTTGTGTCACGCAAAGCGATATGCAGACCCCCTCAACCCCGTGGTGGGCAGCCCAGTCAAGCCTCACCCAGCAACAAGGAATTGCAAGGCTACCCCCCGACCCCCTTCCCCGCCCCATCCCATGCGACGAATTTCCGTGCACCCCAACAGCCGAGGCGGGTGCGCGACAGCGTTTACAATTACCAGTACTCTTGGCTACCACCACCTGTACTACCCTTGCCGGTACATCGATACAATGCGGCAGTCACTGGTGCCTTCGAGATGATTGTGATATCAGGGCCGTCTGCAAATTATTGGGATGCCAGTTGGCCCTGCCAGGGCTTGTGGAAGTGAAGCTCATAAGCTGAGCATAAGTAAGGCATTGAAGTGTTATGGAGAGCGTGCAGCATGCTGTGTGCAATGGGCGAAGCTATATATGGCGCTCTTGCATCAGAAATCCAACATCCTCTCCGATGCACAATCTGAGGTTTGAAGCTTGTCATGGGATTTCGGATATGCATGAGTCATAGGCACATTTTGACCTGGGCAGGCGGTTGATGCACGTTGGCAAATTAACAAGTCGGAGCTGAAGAGGTTGGAGGCTTGGCATGCCTCGATCAGGTCTTTGCAATTCGATTTTTAGAAACCTGGAAGCTCCTGGAAGAGGTCGTCCAACCATTGATGGAAGCCCATGAGCTCCTCGCTAGAGTTTTCCAGCTGCCCTGGCGACAGATAGTGGCCCACTCACATCAATTCCGGCGACAAGTGCATGAAGCCATGGTAATTCTAGTCTGTTTTACGCAACTTGTCGAGTAGAATGACCAAAGCAACAAGCATGGAGACTGACGCAGCAAGATGCAGCATGTGGCAACATTTTTGAGCAATTTGTTACGCGTGGGTGGCTGTCCAGGGCAACTGGCAGAATGCCGCTTCGGGACAGCAGTTGCCAACACAGGCAGCGAGTGAGACATTGCCTAATTTACAAGATGATCTCGAAGCCACGCAACTGTACAGCTGCATGCCTGAAATGATCCAAATACCAGGCTCTCCTGCAAAAGCTTGGATCCATTCTTCCAAGACTATCAGATTATCATTCATCATAGATATAGAGCCAATAGGGGCACGCGACTACTGCCGTGTTGCAATTTTTGCGCTGGTTTGCGATGCACAGAGGTTTTCAGATATAGCCTTACACACTCACGCGCCCCAACTTAAAAACCCTTCCTACGGGCTTCTGGCACACGTGACGGCATCAAGCACCATGGGTATCCATGGGTTCCAAGATTGCCTGAAAATATCTTGCAGTAGTGTCTTCTATGCCTACACTTCACTATAGCCATCACAACTCGAACTACTTGCCGTGGGCGGCACAACAAGGGCCTCTGGAGAGGCAAAACATCCACCCTTCAGGCGCATGAAATTGTGGAGGTGCTGAGTGCTGAGGCGCTTTGCACCTTGCTTCTCACTTAACGGGTACTGGAGGGGTGCGCTCTGCGAGGCTGGGTGCAGTTGGCTTGGCATGCACGGCTCTCGCAGCCGTTGTGTTCGGGACCTCCTCCCACCCGGGTCGCCGCGACACCGCCGCCTCACATGTCACTCTGCGAGCCGATGCATGCAGCATGGCTGGCAGGATTGCAACCCGTTTTGAGAAGGAAGAAATCTCGTGATTCCAAATTCCAAACCGAATACTCGAATCACCCGGAAAGATGTGCAAAAGCAAAGCACAGAACAAAAGCAGACTTCGTTTGGTTTCTCAACTACAGGGCTGCTGCAGATCTTCGACGGGCCCCTTTCTACCCCTACGACCACAGACACGCAGCCCACATGCGCCTTGTCCAATGAGGCCTTTGCCTCACCGCCCCCGTACAGAAATGTAATGAATTCGTTCAAATCCACGGAGCCACTCCTCAACTGTAAGGTATGAGGTCAAACAAGTTTCATACTTTTTTCATACCTTTCAAAACCACTACTTGCTCTTAGGATTGGGGACCTTGAGCCTCAAAGAAGGACCGGAAAGGAAAAAAAAAAAAAAAAAACACCACAGTTTACTGGGACGAGAGAGCTTAGGAGACACGAGCCACCTGAAACCATGATGACCTGCAGGCAAGCTTCCTGTCTGAGTCCAGTTCATTGAATATGCTTTCTAAGCACTCCTTCGTGATATGCGGCATGGCTTTTTGCAGCACATTTGTAATTTCAGGTCTGCTTAGCTTGCCGCTACCATCAGAGTCCCAAATACGGAAGGTTGCAGAGACTGCACTTTCAGGCGAGGACATGTTTTTCGTGAGCCTTGCTGCCAAGCTCTTCTGTTTATCAGCCATCAGCCAAGTATTGAACTCTGCGAAGCTGACCTTGCCATCTTTATCGCTGTCCATGGTCTTGTGCATATCTTGCACTTCCCTTTCGGACATGTCTGGGGTTATGCGTCGCAGCATCAACCCCAATTCTGCCTTGCTAATGGTGCCACTTCCATCCTTATCGGCAGCATTGAAGTTGTGTTGGATGATCAAAGTTCGAACTGTCTCCGCACTCTTGGCCGCCAAGGGTGGTGGGAACCACTGCGACTCCCCTGTCTCGGCATTCCAGTAATATGTACGTCCGGCCTTGTCCCGCTGCTCTGCCCATCCGGCTGGCAGCGCTTTCGCGGGCGCTCCCTTTTTCTCTCCCCTGGCTGGCTCAGTGGAAGACTTTTTCACCGCATCGAACATTGCTGTGTCTGTGACCTACAAAGATTGAGCCCAAAAGATTGTGCGACACAGTTCACCTCACCACAGAGAGACCTTCTTGCTTGTGCCGTTTACTACTGCTTCTTGCCTAATCTGCTCCAACGTAGGGCTGCAGTAATGCGGACAGATTCATCTGGAACATGAGCCGCAGCTCTCAGCCTGTCGTGGTTTGGCGCATCATTGTTCCTCAGCAAATGGCATTGTCACTTAGAAGACTCGCAAACTCCTCTCCAAGGTGGCTGCGACCGGGTCCCTCTTCCGGCCCGGAGTCATCCTCCACCTCTCCGAGAACCGTCAAGGCAGGTCTCAGACGGTTTCAGCATGTACGAAGACACCGATGCCTCTGCCTCCTCTAGATCGTCAAGGCGGTTAATCAGGTCCGAAGCATCCTGTGAAATAAACACCACAAGCGTGCTCTGCGGAAACATACGCAGACCAATTTGACAGTCCGTGGATCCTCAGGCTCCACCATCTCAGTGTCTCCTGCGCCTTCGCTACCTGCAAACAGAGTCAGCCAAAAATTGAAAAAACCAAGGAGGGCGACAGGACGAGGGTGTTTCCTTTGCAGCTTAGCCAGCTTATCTGCCTCATGCTTACTTGCCTCATGCTTACTTCCCACCTTCTTCGACATCCAGCTCCTTGGTACGGTGTCTAACCTAAGCTGGACATCTTGACGACAATGCTGGTTTGCGGAGGTGTCAGGGCGCTGCCAGTCCGCGAGCTGTAGCAGAGACCGGCCGGTCAGCGCCTTGGACACACTTGGACACACTTGGACACACTTGGACACATCCACTTGCATTTGAATAACCTCCGCTAAGCCGAAAGGATCCAAAAGGCTTGGTCCAGGCCTTGCCATGCCTGAGGCCTGAGGCCTGGACTTCGATAACTTCGAGTCAGATACGCCCTGCAAGACACTGGAAGACGCTTGCTCAACTCTCTGGGCCCATCCATGCCAGCCATACGATGAGCACCGATGAGCACGCATCCATGTTTTCCCTGAGAAGCTTGCCCTCAAGAATGTCTCACCGGGGTTCGGACCGAAATCTAGAGTACGAGATTTCGCCCTCGCCACCAGAGACTTCCTCCATCACCTGCATCGCAAGCCCGGGTGTCTGCCAATGGTCTGGCGCAAGCTCTTGATGCATCCCTCTGATGCATGTACAAAATGAAGCTAGAACGCATCCTGCCAACGCCGCCTCATCCACTGTCTGCCCATCGGGAAGGACATCTGCCACCAGAGCACCCTCACCTGCACAGGTTGCATTATTCGCTTTGTGACCATCTCTACTTCAACGCGCGGACAGTGGACACCTGAAAGGAGCTGTCTGAGCTCAGGCATGGATATGTAGCCATCATCGTCCAGATCAAAAGTGCTGAACCTAGGTCTTGCATGTCTTGAAAACGCAGAACCACCCCTCCGAGATTCGGAGAAATTGTCTGCACGCTACATAGGTGACGTGGATCTATCTTCTAAGCAAGAGGCGCATATCGCATCAATCGCTCCCCACGCTCCTGGGTCAGCAAAGCTTGCCAGATTCACGAAGATGCCAACGATGATTCCCTGCCTCATCTAGGCAAAGCGTAGCCGCCAAAAACTCCGTGTACGATATTTGGCCATCCTCGCAGGCTGCAATGACGGCATGATCCACCTCCGTGATAGTAGCTCCAAAAGGATTGTCTGCCCTAGCAGTCCTGATCCAGGTCCATGGCTGCCATGAGACCACTGGGGTCCTGCCGGCTTGCAAACAACAAAATACACCTCTGCATCCTGCCAGAACTGTCTGTACATTGATTATCCAGCCACAGTCCTGCCGCAGCCCCAGCCTTGCCAAACCCGCTTTCAGCTCTTCTGTGTCTAGTTGGCCTGACTTGTCCGTGTCGAAAGTTTCAAAGAGTTGCGTGTCCCGGCTGAGGTCTTTCATGCCAAGCGCCGCAGCCATGCAGAAAGTTACCTGATCAAATCAGCATATCAAATTGAGACCATGCTTGATTGAAGGACGGGGCCTGAAATCCTAGCGCCTACTAGTAAGCTTAAGAACATGCGGACACAAAGTACCCTTCAAGTACATTCAAGTACTGTGTAAAATGCCCTACCCTGAGGCCAGGGCGGCTCTGTAGAAATAGCTTGTCGGTCGTCCCAGTGAGTCTGGCATCTGCAAGTGCGCATCCAGCTGGTCAAGACTCGAACGCAGCCATTCGTGGTCGAAGCATTGCCTGGCCGAAATCCGGGCTTGTGGGTTCTTCTCCATCAACGCCCGCACAAGAGACCGCGGAACTTCTGGAACTTTCTCAAACGTGGGCTCATTGTTCGCAACCTGACAATATAAAACAAAAATATTGTTGGTTCCTCGAAATGGTCTGGCACCCACGAGCATCTCGTACAGCATCACGCCCAAGGCCCAAGTGTCACTTTTTTGCGTAAGCTTGCCGTCAAACCCTTCAGGTGAGAGGTAAGCTGGACTCCCCTTGACAGTCGCAGGTCCACCTAATGCGGCCTGCTCATCAAAAATCTCTGCCAGCCCAAAATCCACTAGCAGCACGTGCGGGCGCGAGCCATTGATTGCATCCTCCATGTTGAAAGGAGTCAAGAGCATGGCGTTGCCAGGTTTTAGATCACAGTGGATGACACCGCGAGAGTGCATGTAGTCCAACGCTGATGCCACCTGGACTGCTGTCTCGCGTATCCACGGCTGAGGGAGCAAAGTCTCGGTGTCCACGGTTTCCCTGATGACAGAGGCAAGGTCACCACCTTCAGCATAATCCATCACGATGTGCAGGCTCTCCTCGCTCTCGAACGCCTTCTCAAGACATTTGAAATCTGCTTGAGAGGCAGAGAACACTCCGTGCTAGTTCGGTTCAGGTGTGCCTCGAAAACGCGCACAATGTGCGGATGATCCAAAGACTTCAACATGTTCACCTGCTGCTGGCAAGCAGCTTGCAGTGCCACGCTTGACGTGTTTTGTGCGCACACAACTGTCCCAAATTGCACGCCTCATCCTCCACTTGTTCGCCGGCAACGCTCAGCTGGCTTTTGGGCACCTTGAATCTCTCGAGCTTGGGTACAGCATGGTACAGCATGGTACAACAACGTGCCAAACTCGAAATCGATGCTCGGGGCCAAACTGACTTCACCACGCGGGCTACGCCTTGGCATGCCGAGATGCCTGCTTGTTGTGCACTCCCGAGCATCCACGTCTCTTACTCCCAAGCATCCAGCCCAAAGAGGCATGCAAGGCCAGGAAAACTTCACCGTAGGAGCCCTGGATGCGTGTCAAGTGTCAGTGGAATTCATTCAGAATGAGTGGCCAGCTGAGCCTCACCGAGCTTGGCCCCCTTCAGGTAGACCTGCAACTCACTTGCTCTGCAAATACCCAGAGCGTGACTACATGGAAGTCTGCTCGAACCAAATCTCATTTCTGCACTTCTTGGATGTCTCAAGCCACGCAGCTTCGAAGCAAAAAAATGCCACGGATGTGTTGGTGTTGCATGGTGTTGCTTTGCACGTCAGCAAACGAATCAGATGCCTAAGGTCCAAGACCGGAAAACTCTCAGCCCCCTTATGCTGCATGCTTGCTGGCTCCGACCCGCGAACCTTGTTCCAATCATCACCGTGGCGGGTGTGCACCAAACACTGCCGGGACACCTGGCCAAGCACAAGACACTTGAGGCCTGGGACAAACGAGGCAATGACTATGACCAGGAATGCCACAAGAAACAATATATGGGTACCAAAGCCGCAGTTCATGGTATGACTTGTTCCAGTCGGTACATTATTTTGTTGATCCTTACATCTCTCTGCCTGTCACCCTGGTGAAGGAAATGCTTTCAAGAACTGCCCTTGCAGCAGCCAACCCCTGAATCGTATGGATGGTTGTGTCTGAAACTAGGGTGGATGTACCGCGCAAGAATGAAGGCCAAAGCAAACAGCTGGCACACTCTGCTTCTTTGCTCGAGGATGCGGCCGTGCGCGTTTGCTGAAACTGACTGGCTGGCCGGGCCGTGAATCGTTTGGGGCTTCTACAATTCAACGACTCAGCTCTGGTACCGTGCAGCTCAGTAGCCCTAGCCAGCCTACATTGCGCCTTCTTGTCAGCGGCTTCTTGAAAGCAACAGGGACTGACATGGCAGCTCTTCTGCTTGCAATTGCTTGCAGGTATTGTACTAACTATGCATGTACACCTTCGAGACCACGGATCAAGCCTAGTCTCGGAGGCGTAAGGCTCGTGAGACGTGAAACTGCAACACTGCGCTGCATCTCGCTTCTCCGCATTCGAGGACAGGCTGTGCACGCACTCAGGCTTCCTGAGAAGTCTGCAAGTGCTCTTGGTACCAGGCTCATGCAAGAGTCTGCTGGGCCTCACCTTGGCCTTGGTCTTGCTACGAAGCTTTCATGCCGTCAAGGTGCTGAATTGATGTGGATGCTCCTCTTGCTGAGCTTCTCCTTGGTGTCTCTAGGTTGCACTCCCATTCTTTCTTACGTTTGGAAGTGAAGGAAAAGCAATGCCTCTGAGACTCGATATCCTTTTCGAGCTGAGATAACTCAGCCTCATGCTTTTCCTTTCGCTTCAGCTTGCCCATGGTATCCTGAGAGAGGTTGAAGCGGCTGTAAGATGCTGAGATGAAGAAAGTCGGAGAACACTGGCGCTCGCACCAAGTTGGTCACATGAGTGCCACCCTGATAGGCCGTGTTCACCTGCACATTTTTGCAAGAGATGCGCAAACCTATCCACAAAGTGTACATGCCGGAAACTGCGCGTGCACCAACTCGCCGCACCTGCTCCCACTTGGCTTTTAGGCCCTCAAGAAGACTTTGCCGTTCATCCTCTGTCATCGGCCGGACACGTTCAGCCTGTCAAGGCACATGCTCCCCTTCCCAGGCAGAGCACAATCACCGCAACATACAGCAACGCTATGTCCACACGTTGTTGCATGACGCTTTTCCCTGTCAAGGTATGTTGAGGTGCTCCTTTGTTGCGTTTCGGACCTGGCCTCCGCCTGCGCCTGTTGCTCCTGGAGAGCCCTGTCCAGCTTGCGATACCGTGGCAATGCTCGGGAAAACTACCAGTTGGAAATGGATGCGTTGCTGCATTACAAGGAGCTAGCCTGATGTACTGATACTCTGCCTCGATGTCCTTCATGGGTTCAGAGGCTGGTGCGCCAGGGATTCTGACAGCAAGGAACTTCACATTCTAGCAGGTCCTGCTTGATGTTTTGCAGATACTTGGGCACCTTGCCGTAGTCTTCCTTTTTGAGATAGTCCTTCTCGCAGTGGGAATGGCATCGCACAATTTGCAGGCGAATGTCCTACAACGTCCTACAAGAGAGTCCAGGCACAAAAGCTTCAAGTCCTTCGTGCCCTCCGGTACCTTCTTCGGAGCGGCCAGGATTACCTCCACGGCGTTGGCTACCTCGTAGCTCCACTCAGCATATGTGGAGCAAAGGAACAGAAAAAATGCGGCGCCAACAAAACAGCATGCACGCAGTCAAGAAGCAATGAAGTTCTTGCTCGTCACCAGGTTCATTACTGGCTGTTCAGAGGCTTTAGGAACGCCACCTCTAGTTTGTTCTTTCCTTGGTGGCTTCAACCAGGGCGAGGATATGCGAGGATGCTTTGAAGCAGTGTCATGCGAAAGCACGTGGCAAATTTCACTCCCAGAAGCAGCTGCTTGGGAAGCAAGGCTTCAGGATGTTCTTTCTTCATCTCCTTCAAGGATAGCACCTGGCTGTAGGAGCTTCAGGGTGCTGTGAACTTGAACTTCAAACTCCCAGCCGTGCCTTGCCCCCCGTCTTCTCACTCTTTTTCAAGAAGCTGCCTGGGTCGTCACCTGACGAGCACTTTCTTGCACTGCTTCAAACTCCTCTTGAACAAACCATGCCATGGCATCGTGGCATCGAGGGACAATAATGCCCCTTGGGCTTGCCGAAGGAGGAGTGGCTCTTGTCAGTGACTGGCCTCCACAAAAGCAGGAGATCTCATTAGGAGGTGAAAAGAACGAGCCAGGACAAGCTGAGTGCAGCTCTTCCTCTCCAAGCCCCCACCAATATTTGCTACCTCAGCTTGCAGCACCAACCCAATCTTGAACCTTTGAGCAGATGAACGATGAAACCCCTGCTGTGGCATCTGTGACAGAGCTGACGATGGCACGTTTGGGCAAGTTGTTCCCTTAGCCGCAAATGTGGACGCCGTCGGAGGGAGATCTGCGGCGTGCCTCTTGTTTGGGAGAAACAGCAGTGACACGCGATCTGCCTGTTTTAGTGGCCTCCGGAACCTGCCTGCAACAATATCAAATATTGCAGTTGAGAAGCTTGGACTTGTACATCGGCGGACGCTCCTGGCTGAGCAGCAACGCAAAATTTAATGAGATGCAGGAATTGAGAGGCATCCAAGAGGAAGATCTCTAGCAATCACTCCACGCCGGAAAGCTACAGTAATGATTAATTATTCTGACTTGCTCGGGGAAGCTTCAAGTGTTGGGAATCACATCCCAAGTAATCGTCAGTACGCCATTCCTTTGCTCGTCATTCTCCTACGGTACTGTTTTGCGTTGCGGCGCCGTGTGGCCTCGTAGACCTTGTAACAGTCTTGTAACTGAAGCACAGATATTTATGACCGTGCTGAATCTGACTCACCAGTACTGTTTTTTCCGACAGACATGGTGCAGCCTTTGTAGGCCAAGTTCATCTCAGCTCACTGTGCCTGTGCAACAGGCTTTGGCGGGATGATGTTGTAGATCGATTCCTGGTGCATCCTGGATTCTGCAGCTTGCAATCAAGCGTAATCAGCACCGAGTGTCATGGTTCCACGCTCTAGTTCAGCACCAAGCGGCATAAGCATCTTGGCAGAAGCTGCTGCAAAAAAACAGTTCAGCGGTCAACCTACCATAAAAAGAACTACTCTTGAGCCGGAACGTGGGGCAGAATAGACATGTTGTTTCCTAACGCCGACTGGATGGTGGACCTGCAAGACGCGTGTGCACTGGAAGGCTTTACCGCCAGTGTGCAGAAAAACGAAGCCCTGGCGGCCTTGGAATAGCCACAGCGAGTTCGCAAGGCCTGCAGCCAGTTGTCGAAGGCTGCAGCCTCAACATGGCAGTTGCACCCTCCACCACTTCAAAACTCTAAACTTGCATGTGGAAGAGTCTGCGACATAGGTTATCCCCAACGCTCAAGTCTTTTTGGCGATTTCCGGCATTTGCTTTTTTGGCGGCTCCACGCATGCAACCCGGATGAGAAGCAATTGACGCAAAGAATGGTCAAGGGTGCCTCCTGCACCTCTCCGAGATTCAAGCACCTTCTACCTTGGTCCTCTGGATTTCGTTGTCTTTGGTTAGTCGCAGGATGAGCTCCGGCAGTGCCGCCCCAATCAAACCAGCCAAGGCGAAAGTGGTTCCTGCCGAGATGCCTGGCTTTTCTGACTCGGATGCTCAAACGTGACTTCTAGCTCCAATAAGCCAAAAATATGCGATGTTGTTTTTTTTTTATCTGCAAGCCAGGCTCCGGTCCGCTTGCACCAGGAATAGTAGTTGCCATACAGCACCTGGACTGCACACACTGCACTTGCCTGCCATTACAGCAATACGACAAACCTCGCGTCAGGCTGGTCTACTGTACTCTACCGTGTTACATGCGGCCGTCCAGACTAAAACAAAAAACGGGGCACGGTTGCAACCGCCCCCGCGAGGGCACGCAAGTTGTTGGTCCAAGCGGAGAACTCGCCTCCAGGCAGTGTCGCTAAAGCTAGCAAGTCCTTGTTGGCTTCCACACCTTTGCCGAAGCCCTCGGCCGTCGCGAGGTCCGTGCTGATGGATTTCAACGCAGTGGCACTGGCCCCGTTCACACCGGGAAGCCTCGGCAGTGAAGGATCGAGACTGTTAGTTGCAATTGTGCAAAACGTCTGGAGCCTGACATAATCCATGCCTGCTTCGAGTCTCTTTCACCAAACAAGTTTGCACAACTTGAGACTACAAGCTCATGGCTTAATCAATGCCGCCTTTGGACATTGGAAGAACCGCCAGCAGGAAGATCCAGGACTTTTCTCTGGCTCCACGCAGCAAGAATCCCAGAAGGTTGAGCATGTTTGTTGCCTTCAGCCACGCCAGAAGAAGCTGGGCCCTGGCTTGCAGGCAGAGGCAACTGCGTGTGCAAGCCAAGCTGCTGAAGTGAAGCCACGAGCGGTGAGGTTCTTGAGGAAAAACGGTGTAACATAAACTCCAGAGAGGATGCTCAGGGTGCCATAGATCATTACAAAGTTGCGGCTTTCCCCTACTGTCCATTTCAAATGCTCGCGCTTCCAGAGCTCAACTAGATCACTCAAGTTCTTCCCCTCAAGGAACATCTGCAAGGTCTGGATGCACACCATTTTTTGGAGGCCGACGGATCCTCGTCGGAACACGTTCCTTGCTCTGTGCACTCAACCAAGTCAATGGGGACTTTACGCATGAGGTGATGAATGCCGCGTAGGTGCAAGAAGCCGAAAGGATTGATGGACGATAGCCTCGGCACAGTGTTTCAAACGCAGAAGCCTTGCTTTGGGATTGTGCCTTCTGTGCCTTCTGCTGCTGAAGCACTGCATTGCTGATGCCAGGGTCTTGCGCTGTGCTCGTCGAAGCGTTTCGGGCACAGAGAGCCCGACAAATAATGCATGAACCTGAAAGACGCAGGAGATGCATCCTGAGGTGCATTCTAACATACTCTATAAAGATATATATAAAGATGTAAGGTGCCCGCAAAGCCCAGCAGTGACAACCTGAGCTCAGAAAGCGGTAGATGTAGCAGGGCCTGCAACCAAGTTTGTGTTAATTCAAAATAAAATTCTAACAATCCATCTGCTCAAGCCTGGTAGCAACAGATATGCTGTTCGGGGACTGTTCGATCTTTGCAGGAACAAAGCCTCCTGCAGTCTGAAGGCTTGGCTAGATGGCCTCCGACTGCGTTGGACGTTTAATGTTCTGATTATAGGTGCAGAGGCAGGGGTCCACGAACGGTGTGATGACGATGCCCGCACCAACGGCAGCACCTGTGCATTGCAAGCACAAGTAGTGCTTCATACGCAGGAGTCTTGGTACTGTTCCACTCTTCCCAGCACAGAAAATGTGCATAATCCCGCTGCAATCCAAGTGGGTGCTTTTGCGTAGCCCTTGCAAAGGTTCAACGCAAGATGTGACAAGGCACCCATTTTGCTGATAGCAGCACCAAGCTCGGCACCTGAGAGGCGCAACCCAATCCGAAGAGAGACAATTCCTTCCTTGTTGAGAACCAAGGATAATAGATCACTGAGAAATGCAAATCACACAATGAGAGCGAAGGAAGCATCTGCGGACTGAGCCTCAGACCCTGGGCCACGTCTGACCTGTGCTTTTCTCCATTGCAAAAGGTTTGAACTGGAGTACATTTGGGGCTGGAAACACGGCTTGGCTTCCGAGACATTTACCCCTTCCCATCCATTGCGAATTTGTGTTTCCAATTCCAATGCTTGGTCCCAAAGAATGGGGGCGTCAGGCACAAACAGGAACCTACTGCTCAACAAGAATCATCCTGCCTTGCCCGGTCTATTTGGAACAAAGCTGTTCATAAAGAGCGACTATGAGTAGACTGGAAGACAAACGCATCTGGGACTTACAACCCCACATGTCCTGCGCCTGCGCAATTGTGCTCCATACTTTGCACATTTAAGGGGTGACACCCTGTCACACTGATAAACCATTGCACTTCGTCTTTGCTTCAAAGGTTTTGATAGCTTGGTGGGGGGCCCTCCCTGACTGCGCCCCGAAAGATAAATAGTTCCTGAATTACTGCCTTCAATCTACAGGTTCGTTACGTGAAAAACTATCTTTAGCTGAATGACAAGCTATTTATTTGCCATGAAATAGTTAAATGGTGCAGAAGTGCCCAGACACACACTTGAGATGGAGACAGGCCACAGCGCAGCAGTTAGCATAACCGTGCTGGAGAACGTGGTGAGGATCGACCTCACGATGCGTAGTGGCCTCATGTCAGGATTGCCAACTTTGCTGCCGGGTGCAGCTTGGACGCTGCGCAGCAGACAAGTTGATTGGATGATGTTGGATGCTTCTGAGCCAAGAACAAGACCACCCTGCGATTGTGCGAGTTGCGGAAGATCAGCAAACCTGCAGACCAATCAGAGTCATAGCTTCACAAGCTGCTGAAAAGCCAAAGGCCTTTGCTGCAAGTTGGGTCCAAGCGGCCAAACAGAATGTTGGCCAAAGGGCCAAGCGTGAGAAATCTCTTCCGCCCGAGGACATCAGAGAACTTGCCACCAATCCTGAAGCAAGGTGAGTAGCCAAGTTCAGCCGGAACATTGCTACCCTAAGCATAGGACAGTACCCAGACTCTGACCTGCCAACCAACACTGGGCAAAGGATGGCAAAGGGGCGCAAAGGGTCCAAAATCGTGCTTCCGCCTCACGATCACTATGCTTGGCAGGGAAGCTAATGCTCAACACTCCAAACTGACCTTTGCCAAACTCGCCGCACCTGGAGGCCTCTACAACCCCTGGGATTGGCAGCCATGCATCGGCAAAATCCTCTGCCAATGCTGCCAAGTGACTGGTTTACAACGACTCCGAGCACACCAACCAAGCCTTGCGTATTCGCAAGCATCCTGGCAGTTAGGCCAATGTCGCCACCCGACAGCTCCTTCCAAGAGATGCACTCTCATCCCTTAAAGCTTGGCACGGGTTGAAGTAGCGGGCGTGAAGAAACCCAAACACATCATGAAAATCTCATTCTTGACGTTCTAAATGCCTTTGTGGGAAATGGCCAACGTTCGCAAAAAATGTGTAATCTCGCAAAACTTTCGCGGAGTCGCGCAGCCTGTTTTCGCATGTGCGCAAACTTGTGGTATGTTCGTTTGCTGGTTCGTCAGCTTATCATGTTGCACTCACTTTTGCCAAGAGACTCTCTCCAATGAGTGTTGGCCGAGCTTGAAGAGTTTGGGCCTATTGTTTCACGACTCTCTTTAATGTGTTTTGGTTTGGGGCCTCTAACCGGGCCTCCCCAGACCCCTCAGTACCGTGGAAGCGTTTTTGAAGACGCCTATTTTGAACTTTATGGAGTCCCTATTGCAAGCGGGGGCTAGACAGTAAAAGGGAGTGCAACATTACTTACCACGAGATCACAATGTATTCTGCTTCTGTCCATGATGTTGTCACCTGGGCGCAGTGTGGCAACTATTCTGCAATGCCATAGCGCTAGCGCTGTCTCCAAGTACACAATACCCAAGACGTTGCTGTCTCATATCTTTCGCGAAAAAGTGCAATCCTTTTTCGTCTTCTTTCGAGAACTTTCGCGAGTACTTCAAACCATCTCAAATGGTCACCCCAAGTATAGCCACAAGACACGGACCTGTAGAACAAGCCTCATGTGCGTTAACGGCACCTTTCTAGCTGGACATCCACTACTCTTTGGCTGAGCTCAGGCAATGTGAAAGCTGCAGCAATCTTCTGGCGTCCTTGATGAGCAAAGGTTCTGACTGAATGGTGATGACTGTCTGGGCCACGCTGAGGAACCCTGAAAGATAGAGCTTTCGCATTGCTGCGGTCCTGACATCATGGCGCTGTGATACATCACTGCAAATTTCTGCTGAAGCTACCAGGCCACTCATCGAAACACCGTTTCCACGTCAACATCCCTATGCTGCCTGATTCGGAGGCTCTGGATCGCACACTTGTTCTAGAGGCTTTGGATCGTGATTTGTTTCGAGCTGTTTTGGGAGTATGTGACCGCTAAAATGACGATTGCGTGGGTGAGCCCTCCCAGTATGCAACAAAGACAAATGAGTCACGCTGCACGAAAAGCACGTGGAAGTTTCCCTAAATTACTGCTCCCAAAATGGGGGAAATTTATTTAGGGCCCCGTATTATAATAGGAACCCAAATATAGGACCCCGTATTGACAGTAATTTAGGACAATCCCCACGTGTTGGTCTGGAATGTGCCATGGAACGCATCCTTGATTCGAGAAAACACATTGGCACCACCTTCACTAGCGTGACCTACGACGACCGTAAACGTTGCCGTGCTCGGATCTTGGGGATCTTCTAAAATCGTATGAAATTCCGTAGGCCTATCTTCGTGATCCTGTCAAACCTGTTGAAGGTCTATAGGCCTTGTTTATGATGGTCTGGAACGTATGGGTCGGGAACGGAATTCGGGAATTCTTCGGGACCTCTGGATCGGGATGTTCCGGACCGTCATATTGAGCGTTGGCCAAGAGCAGCAAACAAGCATCTGCGAAGCGGCTTCACATGCTACAGCAATTCGAAGAGGATCTTTGAACCCAACAACTTGCTGCCCGAGCTCTTCTCGACTGCTGCCTCCTCATCCTCTTTGGAGTTTGCCATCGCAGGCGGCACTCGCGAGCGGAGGCTGGTCGTATTCTGGGTGTGGATCGTCTTGCAGGAGCACTGGAGCCAACCCGCCTCTGGTAAAACGTTTCGTGCGTACGGTTTTTGTGCACATCTTGCTCTGGCTGCGCTCGCCTTCTGAGCCAGGCCGCCATGCCACAAGGAGACAGGTTCAAGAAGAAGAAAAAACAGGTCGACCGCAGACGAATGCTGCCAACACCAAACCCAGTCATTTCAAGATGTGCTCACACTCCAAGATGCTGGCCCAGTCATCCTTGCTGAGCGGCTTGGTGTGGTCCTCAGCACCTTGCAAGATCAGCTGCGTGCGCCCTAACATTTCCACCACATCAAACCGATGATATCAACCTCTTTGGCAGCTCGGCTTGCTTTCAAGACCACTCATGTTGCCTTCGCGTTCCACGAAGAGCCATAGTCAAGCCATACATAGCCATACAACTGTAACTGTAAATCGCACGGGGAGCTGAGGCAGGAGCGTCCGCACGCCCGCCGGATGTGGGTCCACAAGAGTGGAAAAACCCTCGCAGGAAACTCCCACCTGACGGACTGAGGGCATGCAATGCCAAAGACGAGAATCCTAACAGCCCTGCTTGATGTTGAGAATGGCGCTACACATTTTTGGGCTGCCACCTGTCTTCCAACAGTTGGAGAAGGGCAGGCAGTTTGCTGAGATCTCCATCGAAGCGCTCGTAAAGCCTCAGAAAATGCTCAAGGAACTGACCTTGCACATCTCTTGACGCAACCACTTTAGCCGGAGCTTACGACGAGTCTGACTCCAAGCATTGGTAGCGCTGAGCTTTTCAGAAACACTCGGAGTTTTGGAGCATCGACGCGAGCGCGTGTTTCACACGCTCGCCTCGACAGGAAACAAGTCAGAGATGAGCACTTGAAGTCTGCCGGCATAGTCTTGGCAGCCGAGCACTTCATTCAAGCCAACAACGAGACTGCGTCTGCCACGGGAATTCCTTCCGAAGCATGGCAACCAAGACCCTCTCATGTCCAAAAGGCCTCGATGTGTCTTCGTAGGCCTTTGCCATGGAGTCAGCTTCTTCTGACACAGGATGGCCGTCGGGTCCCAGGAGCAACAAATTGAAACCTTCCATCACTAAATCTTCCAGAAGCTTGAACTCCTGGACTTGGGAAACTGCGCTTTGGTAAGCACAGCAGTAGAAAGCCCTGGAAGGTACATACTGCACAAGCTCCTTGGACAAGCCCAGGCAAGCGCCTGCCGGGACTGTATCACGGTCCAAGTATCGCCTCTGAGGTTTCCCTTTCCGATAAATGCGCGCGCGTCGCGCGAAGTATGTGGGCCAGTCCTCACCCTTCGCTACTTTAGCAGCCTGCCAGACAAGCTCAAGAGGCTGATCGGTGGGCAGCACCTTTCCTTCTGCTGTACCATCCTCTGTGACCCAACTTCTGATCATCTTGGACGGAACCTTTATGTTAAACGGCGAGAGTGCATTGCCAATTTGGCCCTTGCCTTTGCTTACAAAGAAGGGCACGCTGTCGTTTCGATATGGAATTTCGTCTTTGCGCTGTCCTCTCCAGACAGCACCGCATCGGATGGTCCCTCTCAGGCCTTTGGCCCTGTTTGCCTTCCTTGCAGCTTCCACATCTGCACCAAGTTTCGTAAGGATGCTTTCAGGCCTGATGCCACGTTTCAGGCAGGCCTTGCGGACCAGGTCCTTGTCCTTGATTTGGCACGCTTGGCTGAAGTCAAGCGGCCGGAGTAGCAAGCAAGAAAGACCAGTGAACAACGCAAATGCACGAAATTGCAGGCAAGAATCCGCCATACCTCCCAAATGTCTGGAAAAGATAGCGGGAACAAGAAAAGAGTTCGAGCAAATATGGCCGCAGCGCGATGCTCGCGTGGTCCTGGCTGTGAACAGCTCTTTCCTGTTTCTTCCTTCATCTTATTGGGGTTAATATTGGGATAGTGGAAAAGAAAATGGAAACTACTATAGCGTATTCCTCATCATCTGAAGGTGTGAACCCTCCTTCTGCTGCTCCTCTTCCTCCTCATCAGCATCAACAGCAGCAGCATCATCATCCTCTTCGTGCCTATCGCATTAAATTTCAACGAATCGTCTTCACCCCCTTTATGTCCGCGCGGTGGGCACGCTCAATTCAAAATGAGAGGTTGAAAGAAGCGCTCCGACCCCGTCAAGCATCTTGAAAGAAAAACTCAAAGAAAACTTCGGCGTCTGTGCCGTCTGCAAGAGCTGCTTCGCCATCAGTAAGACGAATCACAATCATCTGGAAGCAGGCTAGCTGTGTTGTTTGCCTTGCTTACATTCCCAAGTCTTTAAGTCTAAGTCGAAGAGCGTGGTGACCGCGCCGTCTTGCAACCAATTTGGTACTGAATAGCTTTGGCGGCCTAGTGGAGTCAACCCTAATGAGCAATTATTGCTATGGATCCAGCTGACTGGCCACAGCGCGAGCGCTGGAGTCAGTGGCCAGCAGCACATCTAAACCTGAGGCCGCATTTTGTGGAGCCATCTAAGCACACATCTGGAGCCCAACCGTTGCTGGGGTGCTGGCGCTGTCGGAACTCGCCTGCTCGGCCTCTTCTCTCTCGCTTCACAGGCCTACCAAGCGAGACGCTCCAGAAAAACTGAGCACCGCATGACGCTTATCAGATCATCACATGCAGCCTTTCTGATACCGTTGACATGACAGTCCGGACCTGTCCACCAACAAAGTTGACTTCGATCGAGCAGCGCCTCAATTGCAGCATGGCGCCCCAGGTTTAAAAAATTCAAGGTTTGTCAGGCTGCAATGATGAAATCTGCACATCAGTCTCAAGCAGGCAACCATGTCGGTCCGCAGACGTTCTGGCTTGTACGTAATTAATTATATAATCTTATGAACAAAACCCAATGATGGCCCCCATCGCGATCTGCAGGAATTGTTCTGTGCAGACACTCACTATGGAGTAGGCAAGAAAACTTGCCAGATCTTGCTAGCAACATTTAAACCGTTTCAGGGCGCGTCGGGCACGTTTGCCGCAGGTTTTTGTAATGGCGGAGGTTGGGATCGCGACATGTTGGTTTGGGGGCGCGGACAGTGAGGCCTCTGTATCATGCAAAGCAGAGAAAAGTCATGGCAGGCGCAGTAGATTTGGTAAAATTGGACATGGAAGAAGAACTTGTAAGAAGATGTAAGAAGTACAAATCTTGAGCATGTATGTCATGCAGTATGATGAATATATGAATAACTTATACATTCCGCTTCTTCGAACTTGGGTTTGGAAGACGCCAATGGCACCCCTCTCAGTGCTTCGCGGCGGCGCAAGTCTGGACATACCGCAGTATGCAGCTTGGCTCATGCAGAAGCAATGCAAAGTCATGGCAAGCGCAGTAACTTATGTAACTTTGGTCAACTTGGACATGAAAGGAGTTGTAAGAAGTAGAAATGTTGAGCAAGCAGTATGTGATGTGAATTGCGCATTTCTGCTAGAAGATCAGCCCCATTCGGCGCTTGATCCAAGGCGATGCAATTCTGGCTGGCATTCCGACATTTCGTGAAAGGCTGGGTTTCCCAATCTGGTGAGGTGGATGCACACAACAGGAGTGAAGAAAGGATTCTGGGCCAAGGGTATATGCCTGTTCTATCTGCCCCATGGCAATGTTGTTCTCGGCAAAAACTTGTTGATCTGCCCTGTTCTTGCAGGGTTTCGTTTTCTGCATGTCCAACCACGCCGCGAAGGCACAAACCTAACTTCAGGGGAATATGTTGAACGGCTGCTGGACTCTACAGCAATTGGTTGACCTCCAGCATTTGCAATTGCATAGACGCAAAATCAATCCCCCAAGCAATCCTCACTCTTTAGGGTTCTTACGTTGAGAGAAGAGTAAGCTGATCAGGTTGATCTTACCACGTCCGCGGACGCCGCCCCTGTGTTCTGTCATCACGAACTGCAGCTGTCCTCGCTTTTGGATCCGAACTGTCGTCGCTTTCGGATCACCCTTCTCGCAAAACAGAGAAGCGTCGTGGCTTTTGGAACCTCATCCTCACGACGCGCAGAACTGCCTTCGAATCTGGAGCCCTGCTGTGGCAAAATTCAGATTTGTGCTCGCGTAAAGAGCGCCATTTACAAAGTGAAGAACTTTCTGACTCATGAGTTTGCACAAGGGAAACTGTCATTGCTCTTGTCTTCGAAGCCCGTGCTTTTGCTTGTGCATTGCGCAGCAGTACTTGCAGCAGTAACGGTATGTAGCAGTGGCAGTATGGTGGCCTTCTTCATTTCGAGGTTCCTCATCGATGTGATTCTCATGCAAGCCGGCATTGGTTAGGCGTGTCAACCACTGTTTGGAGGTTGCGCCGGCACGATTTGAGATTGTTTTATCGTTTTCCTTTGTTGTATGCTGCGCTTCTTGTTTCTTACTCTTTCCTCAGGTTTTCTGGCAGCCTTCCTTTGCTATCCACGATTTTCCCGTTCTTTGTGATAATCTCTCTGCAGACTGCTTCAAGGGGATCGGCGTCCTCATCCGCTGAAGCGTTCTTGTGTTTGGATCTTCTCTTCACAAACATGAAGATAAGAAATACCTCCTACCTGTCTGTGCAACATCATCTTCATGCGGAATAATCTTCTAAGCAAGGAGCTTTGCGGGCGCGTAGAATTGGATGCCTCGGATTTATTGCCACTGTGAGCAACTTCGCGTGGCTCTCATGAAGCTTTCTGCGAACAGCTGTGTCGAACTAAAGGAAACTGAGCGCCGGAATAAGAAAAGTTGCAATCGGCAATCTGAGGTCGCAACGAGGACTTTTGAGTCTGCGGATGATCCCTGCAAGGGAGCAACGCTAGAGATGCTTTCTCAAAACATGCTGCTTACATCTGCTCACTCAACAGCTTGCCAGCCTGATAGAATTTCATGCATCTGCATACACAAACTGATGGGATCAGATAGGCGCCTTCTGCGAGAAGCTTGCTTTCCTAGCAAGCGAAGGTCGAGGCAATCAGATCATCTACTCACAGCACGGTACGTGCTAAAGCTATGAAGTATGTTGGCCGTGCAAGCCATTACTAGTACCTGCGCGTGTCGACCTGAAAATGAAAACAGCCGTGTCCCATCACGTCTAGAATCTGAGTAGATACATCACGGGCCCCTTGTCACTGCAGACTGCAGAATCTGCAGACTCACTGATTCTGTGCTTGCGCTTTTGCCCTAAGGCCTCTGTGTGCTTTTCGGCACTTCTGGCACCTTACAAGCAAGAATGGCAGCACGCACAGGTCCCAAGACAAGAGCTGTTGAAAGGCAAGCAGACTATAGTTCGCCAAGAATACGCACTCCGTGTGTCTCCAAGTCAAGCATGCTAAGCCTTCCCTGGCTAGGGCATCCACAGAAGATGTTGAGTAGACAAGGTGTGTTATGTTTTAGGTTCGAAGGGCTACTTGTAGCAGATTACAAAAGAGTAGCTGCTAGGGTCCGCACACCGACAGGACCTGAGACAATCAACAAGGCGCGCGATCCTACTCTTGTCATTGAATGCTCAGAGAAAAAGCAAAACCTGTCTCTGGTCAAACAACAAATGGCAACCATTGCCACCAGCTGCTGCAGCAGCACCAGTACCACGACCACCAGCACCAGCACCAGGACCGCCAGCGCCAGCAACAGCACCAACGGCACCAACAGCACAGCAGCAGAAGCAAAATCAGAAGCAGCAGAAGTAGCGGCAGTAGCAGCGGCGCCAGCGCCAGCGCCAGCATTAGCAGCAGCGCCAACCCCAAAACGCACCACATGTTGAGAGAGAACAGACCTGTTCTTCCATCCATGTGTGCAAACCCCCAAACTCACAAAGTAAGCCGCCGGACCCAAGCCTGGCAGTGCGACCATTTCCCCCCCGGACCCCCCTCCTTCCGACCCACCCCCTTCCAAACCCCCCACCTCCCACCCCATCCCGACCGACCCCGTTAAGCTGCCCAAGCTTGGTATAGTTGCAGAGGGTAAATGGGATTGCGAAAAGAAGAAGAATTAGACAAAGTATAAAAAGGGGAGATCATGAAAGAATGGACAAGCGCGGCTGGTGTAACTCGCATCCAGGCAGTTTCATGCATCTGGGGGTGTGGCAGCCAGAGATCTCCTCCAGTAAGAGACTGGAAGCCTCTGTCAAAACCTGCAAAAGTAAGAAGCACTAGTTGGTACTTCGGCCAGGTGAAGCAGGAGAACAGCAGCTGCCAAGCGAGCCAGGTGCACTGCAGTTGTGGCACCGGCCACCCTGTCTGTTCACTTCCATTTGAGCGGCACTTACAAGGATCTGCTTGCTGGAAAGGCCTGCCGAGATACGACTGCGTCTTCTTGCCTCCAGGGATGTACACAGCTCCGCTTTTCATCCAGTCCCAAAAGGTCATTTCAGGACAGGCGCCTTCAAGGCTGCGCGGACGAAGCTCAGTACTTGCAGTGCCTAGGAAAAGCTGGCGTCACAAGCGTGTCTGAACTGGCGCGGGGCTGATTTTCCTGCAAGCTTATCGCAAAGGCTCGCCACACTGCCTTAGACCTCGACTTGGTCAGTTCGGCTAGCCGGCACACAAAAGAGCAAGTTTGCAGATGCGCCCCTTCGTGGGCACTGTCTGCGCAAAGCTTGACTGTGGTCTATGGTTTAATTGATGAGGCAGGGCCTGCTGGAACAGCCACGGCTGCAAAATACTGCAAGACCTGTACAAACTCTTCTCATTTTCCGCCTGACCGGCGGTCAAGTTGAATTCGGGGCCATTTGCCCTCACGGTGCGAGCAAATGAAACTTCGCCAGCTCTCCAGATGCCTGCACAAGGAAAGATATTTGCAGTGAATAGCTCTGATGCGAATATCTGTGCTTGCAGGCTTACGCTTTCGGCGTTTCTATTGACAGCTCTTTCTAAGGTTTGACCATGAAGCGGGCTCTGAGGCCAGGACCGAGCAACCAGAGATCCAAACATGAAACTCCCCAGGCTCTGCACGGAGCTTGCCATCAGATCCATGGAATGACAGGTCTTGCCTGACACACAGGCAGCAAGACCCACTGGCCTGGAGTCTCAACATTGAAAGGGATTCTTTGACCAGGCTTTTCCATTGACCAGGCTTTTGCGTGCCGCACGAATCTTGGTACGAGACCCATGACACATGATCCGTTTCTTCGCACACTGCCTCGAGAGCTGGAATTTGAGAGTCTTTGTCTCACCAGGCTTCAGAAGCACCTTGCCACACAAAACTGCGGTCCATGTCGAAGTCGCAGATTGACGTGGTGCGGTATAGAGGCATCGGGCCTTCTGGAAACCTTTGAGCTCTCGCACCGGACGAACGCGACTTGCTACACAGTCGTGGACATAGAGCTGGGCCACCTTCTCACCGGCTAGTGCGCCTTAGATGTTGAGCTCCACTTGGAGAACTTTACCCTGCAAAGCCATTTCCTGCTTCCAGGTTGCCAGTGTTGCTCACCTTTCAGGAGGCAAGTCTGCTTTCTCTGCAGTTATGCTTCTGTTACAACTGCATTTGGCAACGGCAAGTTTTGGTTAGTAGCAAAGTATGGGCACGCAGGCATCCTAATTGTCCTGCGGTGGATGGTAAGAAACCTGCATGATCCTAAGCACCGTATGCACCTTGTACCTCGGGAGTTATGGTGCTTTGGTATAGTAAGGTCATGCAGGATGTTTAGTAATAGTATCAACACTAGCTATGGCTTAGTTCGTTTTGCACAAGACGCCTGCGCTGTCACCTCAAGCATCTGTTCCCAGCCCAGCTTGTCGGTGCTCAGGCTTGGCTTCGTGAAAGAAAAGTCGGTATAGCTCAGGCCGTGGCCGAATGGATACAAGGCCTTGCTCGCAACTTCCCTCCAACTTGCCTTGAAGGTACGAGGTCCGTCGCCTTGTGGGCGTCCCGTCCGTGGCGCATTGTAGAACAATGGTTGTTGCCCTGCATCCGCAGGGAAACTTACTGGAAGATGACCTGCAGGGTTGTAGTCACCAAACAACACATCGGCGATAGCAGGTCCCATCTGAGTCCCCAGGAACCATGTAACCAGGATCGCTTGCGCATCCCGGACAGCTCCATAGAGAGCGAGAGCTCTTCCCGTCCGAAGCAAGACAACAACAGGAGTTCCCGTTGCTGACACTGCTTCAGCCAAAGCCTGCTGGGCGGGAGGAATGATGATCTGGGTCCGCGACTGCGACTCCCCCGAGAAGTTCTCTGGCTCTCCAATAGCAAGAACGACCACCTCTGCCTTCTTGGCTGCAGCCACGGCTTTGTCAACGCCTCCATCAATTGCCGACTCGAAGTCGCAGCCTTGCACAATCTCGAGGTCATCAGCCTTCGACAATGCCTGGCGTATGCCCGAATCCACCGGGACCGCGCGCTTCTTGTCCCCATAAACGGTCCAGCAGCCCTCAAGATTCTGTGTGTCACTAGCGAAAGGCCCGATCAAAGCGATCTTCTGACCAGATTTCTTCAGAGGCAAGACCTTCTTTTCATTTTTCAGAAGCACTATCGACTTGCGGCCGGCCTCTCTGGCGAGAGGCTCATGCTCTGATCTCAGCTTCTCCACCCGCTCTTCGAGCTTTGGGTCCAGGCACTTGTACGGATTCTCAAACAAGCCAATGGCCTTCTTTATCTTCAGAATGCGGCGAACGCCTTCGTCAACCTCCTCCATAGAGACATCTCCCTTCGCAACCAAATCCTGCATATGTTGCACGTAAAGCCCACTCTGCATGCTCATATCCACACCGGCCTTGAATGCAAGTCTCGCTGCATCACGCCCATCAGCCGCAAATCCGTGACAAATGAGTTCTTCATCAGCTGTGTAGTCTGACACGATGAACCCTTTGAAGCCCCATTCATTTCGCAAAACCTCAGTGCAGAGCCACCGATTCCCAGATGCTGGCACACCTGCGATGTCGTTGAATGCGCTCATGAGCGTCAGGGCTCCAGCGTCTATGCAGGCTTTGAAGGCTGGCAAGTGTATATCACGAAGCGATGCTTCTGAAATCTCCACAAAGTTGTAATCCATACCTCCCGACACACCTCCATATGCAGCAAAATGCTTTGGGGTTGCAAGTAGGCTGTCCTCAGCACGCAGATCGTTGCCCTGGAAGCCACGGACCCGTGCGACTCCCAGCTGCTTTCCAAGGAAAACGTCTTCACCAGAGCCTTCCGCCACACGTCCCCACCTCTGGTCCCTTGCAACATCAACCATTGGTGCCTGCAAGAATCAACAGATGTGAAGGGTGTGCTATGCCTACATTTCTACATGCTTGCACGGCCTCTCCGAGGCCCGGGCAAAGGTCCAGTGGATGCCAGAAGCAGTGGTCTCCAAGGCTGTTGCTCGTGCGGTTCTCTCCGCCAAGTCCGGATCAAAGCTTGCGGCTTCGCCGAGCGGGATTGGGAAGACAGTCCACATCCCATGGATGACGTCCTACATCGCAGGTGGAAGAATTGCTTAGACGGCTCCACACATCCCAAAACTCATGCCGAGTGGCACTGCCAAAGATGAGGGGAATGCCAAGTCGTGTCTCCTCCACTGCAATGCGCTGTGCCTCTCGGCCCTCCTGCAGAGAGTTGGTTCATAGCGGCCCTACAACCAACATCTTGGCGTTCTGTCCTTGATGCCCACACCATTAAAAAGAGAGCCCACTCGGCTCTTCTTAATCTGCTCCACCATCTCATGCGCTTGCCGATGGTTGACCTTCCGTCGCCAGCGGCGCCAAGCTACAACGTTTACTCGAAACTGCACAGGTGTCCAACCGGCCGATGGCCTCTTTAGTTGTTCCTGATACGCTCGAATGTATGGACTAGTAAAGTTCCTTTCATACCTACACATGAGTGAGATAAGACCCCATAAAGAGGCCACCGGCTTATGCAACTACAAAAACTCCAAAAACAAAAGTTGCTGTTCGGGTCCAATGCGGCCTCTGGATTGATATCTGGGTTGCATGGTCGGACGGTGTCAGCCAAAATTGTGAGCTGACCCGCCTTCTCTTCCAGCGTCATTTGAGAGATAAGCTTCTCCTTTGGATGGTTGCTTGGTGTCACTTTTCACATCTTTTCACCAACTTGAATTCTACGTGCTTGTAGAGACCATAGGATCCTGACGAAGTCCTCACAACATCAGTCCGAGTGGGAGGAATAGGTGGAGTTTGTATCGCTGAATGATGATCCTTTTCTCGTTTCTTCTATTCGCCATCTATGAGGTTCATTGTAACTACCTCAGAAGGTTTGCAATGTCATCCTAAAAGTCAAAGGCTTTTGACAATCTTGAAGCTGGGCGTCAATGTGAGGATCATCGCGAGCCAGCATCTTCACCTCAGCGTGCGCTCAAGAAGAAAAACAAATTACTGCCTGGCCTAGGGTCTGAGGTTGGGGGCTGGCACCACAGTGTTTGCTTTCCCGAGCGCTGCTTCCGCTCGGGTGTGTCTGTGTACTGCAAAGGCTCAGTTCCAGCCGAAAACAAAACCGCGGCATCCTGAGATGTGCACTTTCGCGAGCTTGGCTACGAGGAAGTCCGCAGGCCACAGAACGCTTTGGAGGTGGCAAAGCTCACAAACGCTTGAGCCAAGCGTATGCGATTACAAGTCCTGATTGGAACCTGGCGGCCCCTAAACAAAGTAAGGCACTGAAGGCTCGGATCCTGACCCTTCGGAGTGGTCACTCCAGTGAAGAGTCGACTTGGCGGACTCTTCGGCGGCTGTGTTGGGCTTGGTTTCGGACTGGCAGGCACCTTCAAGTAAGAGCAGTACACTGTCACTGATGGCCTGAGCCACTTTGACAAGACACCCGGGAACTGTAGCAAGATCTCTTTCGGCGCGCAGGGCCTCCCTGTGAATGTCGTCATTTCTTGGACCGATGACCTGCACTACATGCCAAAAGTTCAAAGACTGCTGCCTCACGTAGTGCGGATGCTGTCAAGTTCACCGACCTCTTCAATCTCGTACTCTTCAATGTCATCCAAGGTCGGGCTATCGTGTCTAGCACGAAGCGGCGCTCCTTGCCCCAACAGCTACTTACCGGCTTGGCAGCCCCCAACCACCAATGGATTGAAGAGTCTTGATAAACCAAGACTTTGTGATCTGCCACATTTGCTTCAAGCCAAAAGCCATCGCTCAGCAAGAGAGTCCTTCTTTTTCCTGCTGGCGGGCCGCCTGCAGCTCTCTGCTGAAGGAGGCCTGCAGCTCAACAACTGGCCAGTTCAATTTCAGGGTCGAATGACCGTCCTCCAGCGCTATAATGGAAGCATCCACATCGACCTCCTGGGGTTAATGTTTTTTCTGCTCCCAAACCTGTTTGCTCGCATTGCATAGCTGCTCAAACAGGCTTCAGCTCCGGGCAGTAGGGCTGTCAACAATGCCATGCTTGGCTTGTGACAGCCCATTCATCTGCACATGGCGGCCTTACAGCAAACACACGCCAGCAAAGATAAACAAATGGACATAGTCTGATCCTGAAATCCGTCACGCACCCTGGATTTACAATGACCTGAGGGCATCTGGATCAATGGTGGCCAAGGCGGCCTTGGGCGGCCTTGTTCCGGTTTTCTGCAAACCTTAAGGGGCCAAACTTTACTAAACGTGATCGCTGTGTCTGAAGTGCTGTACCCGACCAGGAGGACTTGGGATTGGTTTCCCGACAGCCCACCTTCCTCCCCAACCTGACCAACCTTTCTTCCTCCTGCCTAATTGTTTCCAGCGAGCATGGGACTGCCAGGGCACCCAGGGGATCCCAGGGGCACCGTCATCTTGTCTAATCTTCTTGAGCAAAGCTGCCATGAATGGAGGGCAAATCCAAGAGGACGTGCGCGGCTTGAGCAACAAGTGCTGCAGGATGGCAGGAATCAACACCTTTCCCGCGATCCATGCAACCGCAGGCTCCTGACTGCAAGTTGCATCTATTTTGCTCACCAGCTGCTGCGTGCCGGATTGGCACCTGCTCTGGGAGACTTCAGGTTTAGAGAAACTTGCTGCACCACGACGCTGGATTGAGGTTGGAGCTCTCCAACACAGGTGAGACTCAATATAGAACTGCGAATCACACGGAACCAGAGCGCACAGCCGACCACATATAGCACTTCTTGGCTTCCGGGGGCTCTGAAATGATCTGCTGCTTCTCCCCATCCTCCTTTGAGGATGACTAACGTGCTGAGAGGTAGGCGTGAGCATCATGGCATGTGGCAACAGACTTTGACTGCGGCAAAGGCTGAGAGAGAAGACACTAGACCAGGTTGTGCCAATGTACGGATCACGCCTATTGTCCCTCAGACGTGTTGGACAATCTCCGCATGTGGACCGGGCTCATTGGCTTTTGGTCTCCCACTAGCCTTGCTCGCGCAAAGCTGTTTCTTGTGAGATGTCCCGCTGAATGCTTGATCGACCCAGCATCACAAGAAAGAACTGCACTCAACGTCTATGAGATTGGTCTCACATCTCTCAGCTCGTAATCTTGGTAAACAAAGTGAAGCTACATGTAACTTGCAGCCAAGTGCCATTCGGCCCATGAGCCTGTGGTTTTCAATGCGATGAGGTCTTGAGGAGATGCATGCCTTGCACAACATGGATTCCCCTCTACTCACTCGACTCTTCAAGAGCGAAGCCAACTGTCTGAGCGCAAGGCTGATCCAAGCAGCCATCGTACTCGCTCGAAGAGCCTACCAATTTACCATGTCCAGCAATGAGAAGACCATGATGGAGATTATCAAGAATCTGTGACGCTCATTTTGTCCATGGTTGCAGGTATTTGGTTGCCCGCGTAGCTTCACGCAGACTTGCATGGCGGCCTGCAGCCTACAACAGCAAAACAACACGTCTCATAAACACGCATCATCAAGGAAAGGGAAATCAATTCTGAGGGCTTAAACTGGTCCCGGAAGCTGCTGACGGAATGCCAACTGTTGCATTACCAAAGCCCCAAAGCTCACTCTGGGTACGCCCGTACCTGGCATCACGCTGGAATGAGAACATTTATGCTCTTTTCGCCCAGCCTCAGCTGTAGCCGTAGCTGTGGCCTTGTCGGTACGGCTGGATCAAGACGTGCCTGCAAGCCCCCGCTGGCCGCACTCTTCCTTTAATGCGGGTACTGGAGAACCTGGCCTGCCATCAATGTCTGTCTCGCTTAACGTGTTGCAGGCACGTCGGGCCTGGAACGCGCATCTCTCCGGCATGCATGCTGGCTGGACAGCTTCAGCTTGGCTAGTGGCGGCCGCAGTAGTGACGTACTCAACAATGCCCATTCCTCGCGAGCTTCCGTCCTTGCGCGGAGAAGATGCAGAAACTTCACCATCGTGGCCCTATGCATACGGTCCAGTGTGCGCCTGTCTCCTGAATAGCTGAAAGGAGTTGATCACGCCAGCGTGAGCAAACCTGGACCCAAATCGTCGAAGTATCCAAGGCGATGACGCGATTCGATTACAAACCAGCCTTCGTTTTAGGTCTATCTCCCTGGACTCGAAGGGCACGTTCGCGAAGAAGATGCTCTGCAAAGAGTATGCCGCAGGATTCGCTCTCCTTCTCTCTCTCTCGCTCTCTTTCTCCGCTTTCTGGGATTTCTAGGATTTCCTGGAGAAGTGCGGTGCCCGCAGGTGATGGGAGGAACTCAGGGAATCAAGCCAGTGTAGACCCTAGGCAGGATGAGGGCAACTTTCTGCATCCGCTTCGTGATCAGAACTCAGCAAACCCAACACCCCCGGTCCTTGTCAGGTTTTACCTGACCGAACCGGGTCTGTTGCTGAAGATTAGCTGTACACTTTAGACTATAGTACTTGGAGGCATGCCATCAAACCTGCACTTTAAGCGCAGGGCCCGTGAGGCGTTCTTACAAGACCAACGTCATTCAATGCATTATGCTGATGCTACGAAGATGCTACGAATGCTCGGCCCCCCCCGGGATTATGCCCTATCAGGCATATCCTTGGCGAGGAGGACCTGAGGCAAGCCCAAGGGGAGGGTAAGAGATTCCTCGGACCAGCCGGGCATCGGGCCTTTGAACTGGCCGAGGACCATCTGGAGCTGAGACATCCAGAGGTCGCGCCTCAGAGCTTCATCTTCCAGCAAGCCAACATAGCAAGTCAACGCTTCATCGGAACAGGCCAATTTGGAAATTGGCCAAAACTCAACTTTGAAACTTGCGTTTGTTGAGGACCTTTTCCCGAACGCTCCCCGGAAGGGTTCCCATTTTAGAGGTTGGAAACCAGCGTCCAGGAGGTGACCAAACATCTTTGCTTTTGTGTCCGCAAGCGTCCGCAAGCGTCCACGAAGCTTCCGCGCAGCGTCCACAAAGCGTTGCCGAAAAACGTGAGTAACTTCACTAAACTAGTGATGATGGTAGAAGCCATCGCAACTGTTGAGAAGTTAGCAGCACCACAACAATAGGAGTTCAGTAGTGACAATTCTCATGGCAGAGACAATTCAATGCTGAATACTATCACAATCAAGATAAGGGTAAAAAAAAAAAACAAGCAACGGTACTAGTTACTTGTGAGTACAGTAACCGACATGAGAGCAATTCACCCTACCTCTGGCAGTTTCAATAGTAGCCTTGTAGAAGCGGAACAGCAACGTTACATTTCTAGGAATCTTTCTAGCAATGAATTGTGCATTGGCAATTGCATTGGCACAATAGCAAGAAGCGGCCGATACAACAGAAAGCAAGGAGCAAGAAGCTGTAAGGAGAGAAGATGAGAGAAGGAAATGAGAAGCAAGGAGCAGTAATGAAGAGCAGAACCAGGAAGAGCAAAAGCTCTGAGTGGAAGCCGAATATTGTAGGCTTAACGCACCGGAAAAACAATCAATTGCCCATTGCCAGAAGCAAAAGCAAACAAAAATGCATTTCATAAACAAACCCATCTCACTTGAAAGCTTGTAGCCAACAAGAAGCTGAGCCAGGAGCTTATCCTTCGATCCCGGGTCAATGTACCAGGTTCGTCTGCCAGGTCCTGATACTTGTTGGGGCTAGTATCATTTTAACGCTATCCCTGGTTCCGTCAGAATGGCAATCAGGACACTGACCCCTGCTCCCTCCTACCCCTGCCTTCTTCTTTCCTCTTCTCTAGCTCGGACGATGACGCTAACGCAAGTCGGATCAGAATGCCAAAGTCCAAAGCACGTTGAAGAACGCTCTGTTGGAAATGTATGGAAAAACTAAAAAGCTAAGCCTTTTAGTGTTGCCGGGCGGCCTTGGTAGATTTCGAACCCGAAGGTTCGCTTCAGACCAGCGCGGCGACCCTTTGCAGCGCAAGAGTTGGTACCCAAGCTCAAGTGCCATGACTTTATAATCAGTGCAGGACGGTTAGATCGTGTACTGTATCGGCTTGAGCTCCTGACCTCATCTGTCGCTGTCGGATGGCTGAGGACCCTTACCTCAGTCAATCATGAAACTCTTGCTGTTCCGAACTGAGCACTGCTGACCTGAGTCGATCCATCCAAAAATATCTGCTTCGCATCCTTGCATGTCTGCTCCTGGCATGTCTATCAATGTCAGCGGCTGCACCAACTACACGTTCCGGCGCTCGGCATGGCCTTGCTGTAGCTCAAAACCTTGGAGCTGCAACTGCGGAAGACTGCGGCGAAAGTTCTGTCGATGGGCTTGCGGCACCGTTGCTGTGAAGCACGAACCATCGGTTCATCCAAGACTGGAACAGCACTCTTCACATGCAAAAAAAAAGTGGCATGACTTAATCATGAGATCCAGCTAAATGAAAGCTTGCAGGGCCTTCCCGAAATCTTCTGCACGCTTTGAAAGCCATCCTTCAACCTCACTGGTCCACTCAGTTCTTGAAGCTGTCCCGCTGAACGGATTGTAGGCCGCCAGGACGTTCTCATAATCTCTGATAACTGCACGTGCTACGTACATCTGGCCAAGTTGCCACAAGCCCACCGGATCCGGGCATGCAACCTCAGCTGGTCAAAAAAGAAGATTGGAGGTGTTTGCCCAGTCTCTGACTGATCGTCCGAACAGCCACCCAAGCTCTGGCCCGTGCTTTCTACCCACAAGCTCGCATCCCCTTTCCCCATGCAAAAGGAACAGCTCTCTGTCCTCCTTTTCTCGACAAGGGATGCTTTCACGAAACCCCGGCTCCAAGAAATTCCAAATGGGTGCCGCACCTGGCGGCTGCGTTGCCATGGGCGGTGGCGGCCTTCAAAGCCCATGTCCATCAGCTGCAAGTGCTGCATGAGTCAAAGCCTACAAGGCACTGGGGTCCAAGCATTGCGTAGGTTCCAGACATGGGAGCCATGTGTACGGCCATTGGTGGAGCCATTTGGGAAGCCATGGGTGGACCCATTTGGGCTGGCGCCTGTCCAGTCCAGGACTGCGACCAGGACATATGAACCGCCTGCAGCCATGCACGGCGGGTTGAGAGTGAGCAGAGCAAGCAGAGCAAGCAGATGCGGGCAGAGCTGGATGCCTGCTGGCCAGGTGTGACTGGCATCTGCTGGGTCTCGCTGGTGTACCTGGCCCGGCAGGATCTCATGCAACATGGCAAAGTTCCACCTTTCAGCCCAGCCACGATGGCACAGGTCCCGGGGAGGCAGCTTGATGATTGATCTCTCCACCCTGGGGCCACTTATCTCAATGCATTCTTCCACACAAACTTCAGGTACTTCAGGTACCTCCGGTAAATCCAAAAGAACCAGCACGAGTAGAGAAGGTCACCCCTCCACACCTCCCACCCGCAGCACGGAGGAGACAGGTGACTCCACTTCTTTCGCACAACTCACTAGACTCCGACAAAGGCGGCTTGATTCGTTTCACCGATACAAGGACATTTTGCTCGGGCCTCTCTTCATGGACAGGTTTCGTTTATGACTCCAGAACTCCTAGCAGACAACATGACCTTGTATAAAGTTGGTGAGACAACACCATAAGCTGCATACTTCAGACATTGCATGTTGCGGAAAACATGTCTCATGCCGTCCATTTGTTGATTTGCTTGAAATCCATGGAAGGATCCAAATGAATGCATTGCCTTCGAGTACAATGGGATTTAGACATCTTCTTTGGAAGATGCTTTGCATGTTTCTTCGCATTGTTCCGTTCACCCGTGCTTCACATACACGGGCAGGGCTTGGTCACATTAATGTTCTTTGAAGACTCGGAAGCACCTCTGGCATGGTCTCAGCGTGATCGATTCACATCGCTGGTGATTAGTTGGTGGCATGCGCACAGATCGCCTGGCAATTTCTTCACATTTTTTGTAGTTTTGAAGTGTTTCTCCCTCCGGAGATCCTAAGCTGTTCCAAGAGCATAGGGTCAGCAGAGCATCCATGCCCAAACCGAATCATAATAACTTTCGTGGTCCAAGAGCATACGGTGACCAGAGCATCCATGCCCAAACCATGATGACGTTCGCGCTCCAAGAGCATACGGTCACCAGAGCATCCATGCCCAAACCAGAAACGTAACGTTTGTGTTCCAATTCATGCTGACGGTGCAAACTGCTGGAAACACTTGGGTTGACAGCTCCAAGTGCCAGTGTTCGAGGCATCTCACCAGGGTAAGATCTTCTGTAAAGATTTCGCTCCAAACCCTCCGGACTTTCCAAGAAAGCTGGAACAAATTATTGGCAGTGCCGCAAGCGAACCCGATTTGAAGTATACTCCAAACGAAATGAACTGTTTGTTTGTGATGCCCTGGCGCAGTGCCTTGGAGAAGGCCAAATTTTCAGTACCTTTCCGTCCCACAAAGCGCAGATAATCGTGGCTGAAATCGCGCTAACACCTCAGTTTCGTGCACTTTCTAGCCTTCTGAAACACGCAGGCGGCTCTATTCTTGCGTGACCTAGTTGGCTAGGTCCCCTGGATGTATATGGCTGTTGGGGTCTGGCTTTGCAGGATGCTTGGCTTCGTGGCAACCAGAACAGACACGAAGTCACTAAGTCAAGACGTCTTGGCTGTCTCGGATTTTGCGCCAAACTTTGAGTGGATGCTGGAACTCCAGAACTCTACCCTCTATGCAGAGCAATTGCTCGAGTTTCTACCTAAGGGCCCGGCCGCTTGTGAGAAAGCAAATGGTGACGAGAATTTGTCCGCTCCTGCACCTGCCATGCACAGGCGAAGCTGTTTGATGCAGGGCGTCAGGAGGATCATTCAAGAGCACCTCCAGAATATTTTTGGTGCTCTGCCGATGCGCTGTTCAAGGCCGCCTCGGCGGATTGGCCGCTTGCATTGCCATACAGGCAACAGTTCAGCTACAAGCTCTTGCCTTGCAATCGATATAGCGTAGGTTCGAAGTCGAACTTGATGGTTATCAAGGCAGGCTATCAAGTTTTCTAGCGTCTGATAGCAAGATATGTTTTGCCAGCAACATGCATCCATATCCAGAATATCCTCTTTTGCATCTATCTCCTAAGGAAAACTTGACAGAAGGAACAAGTGCGACCCATGCATTCGGCATTCGCTGTCCTTTTTGGTTTCTTTGGCTGTTTGGTTGCGATTGCTCCCATCCTCTTTTCAACAAGACATGCACGTAGCTTTGCTTCTAAAAGCTCTTTCCTCGCGTTTTTAACCTGCCCAACATCTTGCAGGGGCCAAACCAGCTCTGTACTGAACGGTCCACCCGCAGACCCTCCAAAACTTATGGCGTTCAGGAAACTTGTGCCACACCCAAGAATCTACTGCTGTGCACCTGCCGAATAGTTTTGCTTGAAGTACTGAGGTCCTCGACGTTTCTCCTGCAAGATCAGAAATGAAATCATATGCCCTCGCATTCTCTGCTAGCACGGAGCCTTCAGATTGGCCCTTCAAAAACTTCAGGCCGACGCAGGAGTTTTTCACAGCAACAGCTTGTTTGAACGACTGTAAGGCTGGCACTTCAGAACACTCTGCAGCCACAACACGACCAGCTTGCGCATCACCTTTGTCAGATCAACTACGAGAATGTGCTAGACGTGGGGTACTGAGCATTGATCGCAGGGGATACAGAACGGGGTGCCAGGGAAACTGCTTTCCTGCTTCGAATCACGTGTCCAAACTAAATCCAACGGCATTACGCTTTCACATTTTGATGGTAAAGTGGATTTCCGTATGCTGGGAATTTTCGTTTACGAAATGATTCAATGAAACATAGGTTTAACTGTTTAATTGTCTTCTGGCGTAATGGTTTAATGGTCTTCAAAATTACTTAATGACTTAATGGGCTAACCCGAACGTTGCGAAACTCTTCCTGCATATTCATGCGTTTCGCAAAATTCTCTCTGGCTTGCGAGAATCTCGGCGCTAAGTGTGTGATTAACACCTGGATCAAGGATTGCTGTAGGTATCTTTATTGTTTCTTGTTAGGTATTTTTGTTGTTGATTGTTTCTTTTTTCAGGAATTTTGCAAATTGCAACATTTCGAGCTCTTGAAAACCTGCCAAGACTGCAAATTACAACATTTGCAGCTCTTGACAGGCTACGAACGCTGCAAATTGCGGCGTTTGGCGCTCTTGGAAGCCTGCCAACACTGTAAATTACGAATACTGCAACTTGCAGCATTGAGGCCTCTTGAAAGATTGCCAATACTGCAATTTACGACATTTGCGGCTCTTGAAAGGCTACGGGTGCTGCAAATTACTCTCTTCACTGTCTTTAAAAGTTTTAAGATTCTTTGGGTTTAGGGTTTTTGAGGTTTAGGGCTCTTGGGCTTTAAGGGTTTAGGGCTTTTAGGATGTTTAGGATTTAGGGTTTTTAGGGTTTAGGGTTTTAGGGTTGCAGGGTTTTGGGGCTTTAGGGTTTTTAGTGTCTAAAATCTTTGGGTTTAGTGTTTTTAGGTGTAAGGCGTTTAAACTTAAGGGTTTTAAGGGTTTTTTTGGTTTGTGGCTTTTAGCGTTTAGGGCGTTCAGGGGTTTGAGGGTTTACGGTTTTAAGGTTTGGGGTTTTCAGGGTGTTTAGGGTTTAGGTTTTAGAGTTAGGGTTTTATGGTTTGGGGTTTGAGGCTTTCAGAGTTTAGGGAGTGTCGTGTTCAGACGTTTAGAGTTTTTGGGCTTTGAATTTGCTGGGTTTAGAGTTCTTAGGGTTGAGGATTTTGTGTTTTTAGGGTGTAGGGCTTTTAAGGCCTAGGGTTTTTAGGGTTTAGGGCCTTTAGAGGTTTTCGGGCTTAGGGTTTTTATGGTTTAGG